GCCAAACCCTCTGTGCTTATCCTGCTCGACTTATCGGCTGCATTTGACACCGTCAACCATGGCTTCCTTTTGTCCACACTCTCTAGCATGGGCATCACAGAGAAAGCACATGCCTGGTTTGAATCGTACTTCACAGGACGATCATTCAGTGCATCTTAGCTTGGACAATCCTCTACCGTGCACCATCTTGCCACAGGAGTCCCCCAGGGCTCTGTACTAGGACCTCTTCTCTTTGCCATATACACCACCTCACTGGGTGAGATCATTCGATCACATGGCTTCTCCTACCACTGCTATGCAGACGACACCCAGCTCTATCTGTCATTTCCACCAGACGACCACACTAGCTGTTTTTATAGAACCATAGCGTTTTCAAAACGGGATTTGCCGCAGCACCCTGGGGAGGATTTTGCCATTTATAGTAGCAAAGCTGAAGCTAGAATATACTGCCATCAGACACCTCACCAACCAAGACAGCATATAGGGAGGTCGCTGGGCGGCCCCCCTGCATGTGACGTACAGGGTCGCGCATTCAGCGTCAGACGGAAGACACGTCAGACTGATGAAATTTCTTTTTCAGGACCTTTAGCTTTGATGTGACCTGCTTTTTGTCCCGCTTGACGCCCTGCTCAGCCAGTGTTTTCACCACTCTGTCAAACATCTGGCCATCTCTCACCGTCCACGTAAAAGGGCGATTAATCTGTTCGTCCGCTCGCACGGCCAAAAGCTCCATGATCTCCGCATCCGTCCAGCCGGCTTTCCTTCCGGCCGGCACCCGGCGCACAGTACACGTGACTAACGCGACCACCCTCTTTTGCAGGGGGGCCTCCCACAGTCGCTCCAAAGGGATTAGCGAGGCTGACGCGTTTAGCTGTCAGAGGCGAGGGGCTGATGCGGCAATATTATTATCAAGCGAGGCGGAATGAATACTGCAATATTTGCGCAGTGCCATGCCGGCATGGCACGTTTATAGACATACCACTGTGGTAATATTACGCCGATATGCCGGCATGGTGTGTCCTATAAAAGCACCTAACATCTCTGCACGAATATAAAACTGTATCTCTGACATATCGAAATGGATGAAATCCCACCATCTCCAACTCAACCTCTCTAAAACTGAACTACTTGTCATCCCAGCAAAACCATCCATAAGGCACAATATCTCAATCCAAAATGACTTCCCATCTCTGGCTCCTTCAAAGGCAGTTCGAAATCTGGGTGTTGTGATTGATGAACACCTGACCTTTAAAGATCATGTTGCTTCTGTTGCTCGTTCATGCCGCTTTGCGCTGTATAACATACGAAAGATCAGACCATACCTAGCACAACATGCCACCCAGCTCCTGGTGCAATCTACTGTCACCTCCCGCCTCGATTACTGCAATGTCCTTCTAACTGGTCTTCCAGCCTGTACTGTGAGACCTCTTCAAATGGTCCAGAACGCAGCAGTGCGTCTGGTCTTCAATCAGCCAAAAAGAGCACATTTCACCCCTCTGTTCATTGAGCTCCACTGGCTACGGCTAGCAGCACGCATCAAATTCAAATTGCTAACACTAGCAAACAACGTCCCAGATGGTACGAATCCCATCTACCTGAATCCTCTTGCAAAGGCTTATGTCTCGGCCCGGCCGCTCCGGTCATCACAGGATCGTCGGCTAGCAGTGCCTACACCACCCTCAGGAAAATCCAGACTCTTCTCATGCATCGTTCCACAAATGTGGAATGACCTACCAAGCACTACAAGAACAGGGGCTTCCTTTTCGACTTTCAAGAAACTCCTGAAGACCCTGCTCTTCAGAGAGCATCTTCTAAACTAGCACCCTCCCTGCACCCATCCCCCTTTCTACTGTCCACTCCTTGTTCCCATTAGGGATGCAACGATACCAGTTTTTTTTTTTTTTTACAAACCGATACGATACCGATACTTGGATCTGAATACTCGCCGATACCGATTACCAATACAGATACTTCCACCACAAAAAAATGCAATGATGTGGAATACGGATTTTATTTTCTTCTCTGCTTTCAACAGGAAAAGATTGAGGTAGATAAAAAGTAAAATATATGAATGGAAATCATCACAAAACTAAAATATTAGGTGAACAGAAATGACAAGTTACAGTGAAGCCATTTTCAAGCAACTGCATTGGTATCGGTTCCTGGTATCGGTTAACTTTTACAGATACCGATACTGGTATTGGTATCGGCACCGATACCGATACCAGTATCGTATTGGTGCATCCCTAGTTCCCACCTCTCCATAATTCATCATGCTGCCTCACTGCCACCTACAACTTACTGGAAAATGGTTGTTGCTGTTGTTGTAATTGTTGTTGTTAGCCTCAAGGGCAACATGCCGATTATCACTTGTAAGTCGCTTTGGACAAAAGCGTCTGCTAAATACATAAACATAAACATCCTCTCTAGGTGGCCTTGTATTTATCCATGCTGAATGGGTAGGTTTTTCGTCCCACATACCAAGGTAGTCTTCTTCGGACTGAACAAGTCCAACACACCCATTGCCAACTGATTGGCAGGCTCAAATGCACGCCTAACTTTAGGAAGAGCTTCCGATTGGCGGACAGAATCAACCAGCGGGAGATTCCTGCATACGTGATTCATTACCATTCTGGATACTGAGAAGTAAACGGTTGCCCCTGACTGAAGCTGCGGCAGCTCTCTGTCTCTCCTCACTGATGTGAGGAGCACGCATGGACAGACAGACAGAAACCGGCAGTGCTGCCGTGCCTTGAGCTGCATGGCCGTTGTTTAGGGGAGACACCATGGACTTCTCTGCGTGTCTTTTGCCCCACCCACATGCTTTTCCCGTTCCTGAGAATTGTGTGTGAACAAACCCTACTGGTGCGGGAGCCAGAGAGTCACCACCCAGCCTGGTCTGTGCTGGATCAAATGTGAAACTGCCACTAAATTTCTCAATATGCTTACTTGCCTGAACTTGTGTACTTAACCCAAGTACTGTTACACTCAAAGTTCCTGAATATGTTCTTGCTCTGCCCCAGTATAACATGGTCATTTTTGTACCTATAGCATCATGCAGCACTCATGGTAACGAAGTACGGTTCTGTTCCAAATATAGTCCTCATACTTAAGTACTTGGTAGAATGGAATTTTAGCTGTACTTGCCAAGGAGGTACATCTCAAATATGCAAGACATTACTTGTACACTTTGTTATTGATAAAGCTCACCACCATCTGAATGCAAGAAAAAAGCTATGAAACCCTTCTAGAAGTTTAGAGCTCACCAAACAAAGTTATCTAAACTTCATCAAACGAGCTAAAAAAAAACTAAACCACATAAAAGGTGTGTATATATATATATATATATATATATACACACACACACACACACACACACACACACACACACACACACACACACACACACACACACACACCACTTTTCAAATCACTCAGTGACCCTTTAAATGAGTCAGTTGAGCTGAAACTCATCTGATTAAATCAGCTTTGATTTATTTCCACAATATAGCTCCATCAAAATATTCTCATTCAGAAACAACTGAAGCTTCAGATTCTGTCGCTGTGACTTTAATTGAAGTTAGCATGCCATTACTGGTTTTAGCTCAGCTTCTGCAAATATTAATGAATGCTATCTGACACATGGCCGTGCTGCCTAACGGAACAGATTACCGCTATTCATAATTTAAGTGCTAATGCACTTCATCTGTTGGAACTTCTCTTAAAAGAGTGCAGATGTCAAATTTAACGCAGCCATGACTTTGAGACTGAAAGCTCTTAAATGAAATGATTTAACACATTGTCCGTGTGCGTGTGTGTGTGTGTGCGTGCGTGCGTGCGTGCGCGTGCGTGCGTGCGTGCGCGCGCGTGCGTGCGTGCGTGCGTGCGTGCGTGTGTGTGTACACAAACTGAATTGAAACCAGACTTTATTCTGGAACACATCCTTGCGTTCTTGTTCGGAGAGCCCTCGCTTCAACGGATAATAGCGTTGTGTGCTATTATGTTTATGTTTATGTTTATTTATTTAGCAGACGCTTTTATCCAAAGCGACTTACAATTTATAACCTATAGGGCATATTGTGATCCGTAGTAAACCGGGAAAATCTGCCACCTGCTGACAGAAATAAAGATCTACAGTCTGCTTAAAATGCTATCACTGGATATTTTAGGTGTCAAGATATATGCAATAAAAACTTTCAAAACAAGGCCTATTGGTGACCATATATAGTTATATTTCTGAATGTATTTTTTCATAACACACCTCATATGGATAAGGATAGAAAAAGTGCACTGAGATCATAAAATACAGTTTAGTGTGTTCTAAAGAGTCATGCTGTTACTTGATGCTCTTATTTTGACAAGTCGCACCAGAATGTCCTTATGTTTTCAGCTAAAGAGGAGAGAAAAACATTTTACCATGATATTAACATTGTAATATTGACAAGAATAATTATCAGTACGATTTTCTTTGTTATAATCTGGATTAATTGCGTTTAAGAAGAAGGTATGAAAAGATTATAATTTAATTTAGGAAACTGGTCTTCGGCATTAGAACAAGTAGAATGTTGTTTTTCACAAACCGACCAAAAGAAAACTTTGAATTTGAGACAAAAGTTTTCATAAAAGATCAGAGATCCCAAATCTCTGCAGACATGCTTGAGTGAAATGTTTGCAGCAGAAGAACAAAGGCTGTCAGTGCTGCTGTCAGTGAGCTAAAACAATGATACATTTTTAAATGTATGTCTATATGGTACACGTCTATGTTTTTACCAGCCTGTTGATCCAAAAGACATTTCTTAGCTTCCAGATTGACAGTTTGGTATTTTCTGGCTCTGCTTGGAGCATCATAAAAGAAAGCAGCACGCTGACAGAATCATTCTTCTCCACGTTTGGATTTTTCATTCTAAAATAGACACCAATATGTAAAAGTTGTTGGAATAAAGCACGTTTTGTTTCACCAGTGTGTAGTTTGCAGAAGTTACTTGTGGAGTCGGTCTTACCCGGGTCAGCTCAGACTCAGAGACGGAGCGGTGTGGAGGGGAGCGGCGGTGGTACACGTGTCGGGCGATTTCCTGGCAGCTTGGGCCGCCGTCATCCAGCTGGTTGGGCTCGACGTCCACAGACACCTCCTCCCCCTCCAGCTGAGCTGTCATGTCTTCTGGGTACATCTGATGATCGATGCCATTCTGGCTCAAGTTACAATGAACAGCTGGGGGGAGAGAGAAGAATAAAAATAAAACATTTTTGGGATTCCTGCACTTTTAAAAGTAGTGCTGGACAAGTACTCACAAAAGTATTTTAACGTTATTTAATTCATTCTTCTAAATATATCAAAACAATGTTGTTTAGTTTAAAGTATCACACATCCGTCATTTAAACGTATCTTTTAAAATGATTATTTTTAGTTAATTTAAAACTAATAATGTCTTATTTGTTAAACAAGGTTTATTCTTTTGATTTGTTTTTTCAACCTGCTTGAATAAAGAGTTGCTAATTTAACAGTAATTAAAGTAAATAAGTCATTAGGATACCAGCAGCTGCATTAATAAAATGATGCATGCAATGCACGTTGATGGTAGATTATAACACAGCTTCATTTCATGCTGTTTAAGATCCACTAGATGGCAGCAAACTGTTAGGAACAATGAGGTGGCCACTTCAACTCTAGTTTCTTGTATTATTAACACATAGAAATGTAGTCAAGCAATTACAGGCAATGTGCACAAATCATGTGTAAACAGGTAGTAAAAGCTGAAGGGTGCAACAGATTTAGACATGATGCAATGAGACATCTGGGGCAGTAATACTGCAGAATCAGTTTTCCCAGGTTACAGCAGAAACCAGGAGACATGTGGGCCATTCCCATCTGTACCGGGTCGGCCCGGGCCGGGTAGCGTAGGTTGTTTACATATCTGGGTGGCCTGGTATTTTTCCGGGCCAACCAAGGCTCATTCTCAGCCCTCTTCTCGAGGGGGTCTGCTTCAGGCCGACCAGGGCCAACACACCCACTGCTGACAGCAAATTCACACCTTCCATTAGAGCAAGCCTCTGATTGGTGGGTAGAATCAGCCCACATGGGCTTAAGGCAAGGATGTGTGGAATCAACCGGGCCAGGCTGGGGCCGACCGGGACTACCCGGCCCGGGCCGACCCGGTACAGATGGGAATGGCCCAATGTTTAGCTAGCGGAAATGTCTTCATTCGAGGCGGGTGGGTGTTCCACATGTGGACAACTCTCTGCCCCATCGGTGGTCTGAGCAGAGTGGGGGTGGAGTGGGTCACCGGCCCACTTTGGGCAATGGCCTACTGGAAATTGCCCAATACGCCAGGTGGCCAATCCACCCCCGCCCTTAAGAGGTTCTGGCATGTTGTGGAGTTGCTAATGCTAATGGTTACTGGTGCGTTCCAGTTAGGGCTGCAACAAACGATTATTTGGATAATCGATGAATCAGATGGGGTCTCGACACGATTAATCGATTAATCGGATTACATAGGGACATTTTTAAAAACTGCTAGGGAAACGTTATTTCTCTCCTTCCTTCACTTTATTAAACACAACATTATTAGAAAACAGTTCAATAGCAGGAAAACAACATGCCATCACCTAAATTGTCTTATAAGCTGTATAAACAGAGACCCTAAGCTACATCTATCTGTGACCTAAAATGCTTGGTCCAAGTTAAACAGCTTAAAGAGCAAGTCAACCCCTACCAGAGTCTAACTCCACTCCCGCTTCATGTTTGAAAAATGCAACACATGCTGTTGCCTGGCAGACCGAGAGGGCGGAGCCGCTAACAAATACACACACACTCAGGCTCACGACTAGCCTAGTGAACTAGACCAAATTCTTGCTTTGCAAAGAATGCAAATAATACATTTATTTAGTCTGGCTTGCCAGGCTAGCTCACGACAGCATTGTGACATCATAATGTACCAGTTTACATCATAGCATACCTCTTAGCCAATAGCGGTGGCAGATTTAAATTAAAATACAGTGCAGAGTTTTTACCTGACAACGGCACAACACTGCCAGTTTTAGGCAGAATATTTAAATTTTAACTAAGATGCACTGAAGTGCCAAATTATTGACGACACGTGTCTGCAGCATGATTAGACACTCGTTTATTTAGTTTATCAGCAAAAAAAAGTTTATTTGGGGGTGACTTGCTCTTTAAGGGCAATTCTCATCTGTTTTGTTTGATCTCATCTGTAGACATTTATTATAACTGGGGATGTCAAACAACTAATTTTTAAATGTAATTAAACATAGGCTGTGAATTAATCAAAATTAATCACTATTTCCAAAAATGACTGAAAAAATCCAAATAAAACAAAAGTAAATGAATGCCATCCTCCTTGTGATGATGCCCTGGGCAACTGCCACAAAGTCACATCAAGAAATGCTGCTGATCATTCCAATGATCCCAAATAGACTCACATTAGGCCACATGAAAGCAACTGAACCCAAAAATATATTAACCAGTATATAACTGCACTCTCACACAACACGCCTGCAGCAACAGTTAGGACTCCTCCCTCCCTTTTAAAAGCGTTTTCGCTTGTGAGGACATTGTGGTTGTAAAGCCACATGTTAGTAGTCTGGCCCCGGTGTGATCAACCAGTTTCTGAGGGAATGTGACGGCGGAACCGGTTCGCAGCAGCGCAAGCCCCACCCCCCCGTTTATCTAATAAGCGTCGCGCTTACGATTTTATAGACTTTTTTAATGAGCTTAGGGCATGTCTAGCCTGTGTAATAATCCGGGGCTTGGGTGAATCACTTTTGAAAAGTTTTTAACTTACCCGGACACCGAGCTCTCTCCCTCCTCGCTGATGATTCTGACATGCTTGCGTTTAAGATGCTGCATAATCACTGTAGTACTCCCGTGCCATGCTAAGTCTGACCTACAAACGTTGCAGGTAACGAATGTCTTCGCCTGATTTAACTGAAAATGCTCCCAAACTTTAGAAGTTTTTACTTTTTTTGGGTCTCGCTGCTTCTGCCATGTTCCTCTTCCAAACACCTGCCAGGTGTTCTGAGATAACGTCCTACTTTGGCAAAACGTCCTACCTGTAGGATAATTATACGCTGTTTTACACGACACAAACCCTAACCCTCACCCTAACCCTAACCAAAGAAACAGAGTACTAATACTTACTACTTATCTATTTTCCTGCAAATATGACAGCGGAGTAGCATTCCCCTTTTGTGCTGTGCGCATGCGCGCACATGCTCAGTAACAACGGGTAGGACGGTTTACGGGGTAGGAGAAACCGGCTCTGCGGTCTGCGCGCAATGGCGGGCGGGAGGGGAGGGGGCTTTTGGAATAGTTGTGCAACACAGCGAATCGATGACGCAATTCATTGCCAACGCTTTTAGTAATCGATTTTCATCAAATTTATCGATTCGTTGTTTCAGCCCTAGTTCCAGTTGTCCTTGGAACTCGGTTTTCCAAGATAAGTTAGCTGGAAATGATGTAATGAACTTGGAATTCCGAGCTGCGTGCTTGTAGGTTTCAGAGGACTTCGAGATCTCAAATTTAAAGATGGCTGCTCCCAATGCGACCAGAAAGTAGGGATCATCTTTATTGATTTTCTCATTCATATGTTCTGTTTTCTTTCTGTTTGCTATTTAAAAGCACCGGTAAGTTGTTTATTGTTGTTATCATTAGTCATGTTGTTGAAAATGTTATCACTGCCGCCAAAATTGACCAGTGTATATGGTTTTTACTTTTCCTGGTGTTTATATTTTTACATTTGGTTTGTAACGGTTTTCTGTTTGTAAGGGGCAACTGTCGAAGGGCACGTGTCTCACTATTATTCAGATGTGGAGACTCAACAACACTGGTGGCATCCATTTTTGCCGAGTTGGAAGCTGAAACGAAAAACAAGCCTGTTATGCAATTTCCTGCTCGGAAATTCTAAGTTCCGAGGACAACTGGAAAGCATGATAACGTCTAGTAGCTGAGACATGCTAGTCCAAAGAGGTTCTGCCATGTTGTGGACTTGCTAATGCTAATGATTAGCTTTTACTTGCAGAGACGTGCTCTACTCTCTCCTGGATGCTTAATCAACAACAGCCTTCCACGATTGCTAGCCAAGATGGCAGAGTCCATGAAAGCTAATTTTACAGTGCGACACGGATCTGTGTGGCTTAATCAGACCCGAGCATTTCCCTGTCCATTTTCTTTCCGTGGTTAAAGCAGGAAATAAAAGTAGAAGACCATTTTAACATTCATTATGCATGTGAGACTCAGAGTGACCAATTAAATTTCAATAAAAACAGCTATTCTACATTTCTGTTATAACCTGACTGGCAGATTTTATCAGAATGAAAACATCCCTATTTAAAGGCCAAGTTTAGTTTTAAACTAAGATGATTTACTGTTGGGAAATGTTGGCCCCAAAGCCAATGTATGCTTTTTTATGCTGAAACATCAAGTGACCTTAGTACTCAGAGTTTATGTGAATGATTCTTCGCTAAAAACAATCCAAAATATAGCTTTTCCTACGTCAATAAGCTGTGGTAGCCATCTTGAATTGACTGTGGTCAAGTTAATCAGTTGTAAATGTACAATTAGTAAACATATTTACATGTAGGGATTAGTTTCGGGGACTTTCACTGAAATCCATCCACAACAACTCTCAGCTTTTGGTGGCAGACCATAATGAATATTTCTCTATTGTTGCACCATGAGCTCGAAACTCCAGTGTATTAATCCCAGGTGAAGCATTAATACTCTGAATTGTTAGGGTAAAATCTTAAAGGAGCTCTAATGAGAGATCAGTTATTAATCCACAGAAGCTCTTCATGCAAAGTGATTCTCGAGTCCCAGAAGATTTAATAATCAAAAGTCATTCCCTGATATATAATCTATTTTTGTGCATGAGAGCGTGTTTTAGCAGTAGTCGGAAATCAAAGATGGAGCAAAGAAAGTTAAAAGAAGCCGCACAACAGGAAGTTAGTCTTGTTACATAAACTTGTATTATTTTGTCATTTCCTGTATCAAGTGGTTATTTTTAGTCTCGTCTCTATAGGAAACGTCTGACCCAAACTATTTTCATCTCATCAGGTTCGATTCAATTTGTCATCATGCAACCTGCCCGCTTGCTCTAAAAACATCAGAAGCACATTCGTGAGCCACTACATCCCTTTCACCACTCCTGAGACCTGCTTGGGTTGCTGCTGCTGCAGGTGTGAACGAGAAGGTCA